TCCTTTTTTTTTTTTTTTGTTTTTTTTTTTACTGCGGAAAGTTTTTCACGCACAGCCGAAAATTTACTTGCTCAAACTTTCGAAGAAATGCTGAAAAACTTCATCCGCGAATTTCGCGTGCAGAAACCTTTCTCGACCGCTGAGGACATCAAATTGCAATACAGGCGTGGTAAATAAACCAAAAAAAATGTAATCCAACAATTATCATTATCATCATCCTACTTTTCCATTTTCGAATTAATTTAAACAAAAATAATTTTAACAACTTCGTCAGAACCTCCTCAAACTCAGTGAATGTAGAAAATGGTGAGGAAATGACAATCTGATCCGATGTATCAGATCTGCTGGTTCGCGGGAGATCAACATTTCCAAGTCACGGCAAATATATTATGCTTGTTTACAAGGGCCATGCCCTCCATTTTACTTTCAGAAAAATGAACATGACAAGAATAGGGCGATTTATTTATCATTTTGGGCAGAGAGGTAAGCAGGGTAAGAGATGAGCAGGGAGGTGAGCCAAAAGGTGAGCAGGGAGGTGAGTACCCTCAAGTCGCCTTCACGAACTCCATCTACTACTGGAACTACAGCCCACCTCGGGTCCCTTCCTCCGCCCTGGGCAAGACGAGGTGGAAGGGGCCCACCATCCTCGGCTGAAGAAGCTTCAGCTTCTTGCGGTAGATGTGCTGGGACTTGGGGTTCGTCGCGGTGCATTTCATCAGCTGGAAGCCCAGCTTCCTGGAACAGGTGGAGAACATTTTGCAGGTGGAGCAGGTTCCAAACCGTCCACCTTGCCCTTCCAAGACAAACTCCTCTTCCACCCAGAACGTTCTCCTCTTCTTACTAGCACGTCCACCTCGTTTTCCCAAAATGTCCACCTCGTCCTTCCGAAATAAGGCGGGATATTTATTATTTTATTATTATTTTATTATTTATTTTATATTTATTATTTAAGGTGTTGGGCGATCTGGAAGCTCTTCGTGGAATGGGGCTGCTGTTTCTTCAAACAATGAAAATACATTTTAAAAATAAATTATAATGAATCAAAGGAGTATTTACTACAGTAAATGTTTAGCGATCGTATACGTCGTTATGAATTTGCTAGCGTTTAATAAGAGGCTTATTTAATGCTGCAATAATATAAATATGAGAAGAACCTATCAATGTTCGCGAGTCTTTAGATCACATTTTAAATAACACTAACTTTAAGGTTCTAATAAATACAAATTTGATTTTGTTTTAAGGTCACTGCCACCGAGGCAAGCTACGATTAATTTCAGCGTTTGAGTTTGGTGTGGATTGGCATCATCTCTGAATGCATCCCATTCCAGAATGATACCATTCTTTCTGCCGGGTGAGGCATGTCTTGCAATTTTTCGATTTAACAAAATTATAGCAATTTAGGCCACTCGACGCAAAAATCTGAGGCTGGTTTCAGGTTCACTGAATTTTCGTACTTTCCAAAATTTAATTTGCCGATTCTACGGCCGACTGCACATTCTCAGGGGCGTAATAAAGGAAAAACAGAATCTTGGGTCAAGCGGCATCGCATCCTGTTTCACGAGAAAAGCGTTCTGCATCTATGCAGCAGGACAGTGATTCGGTCTCCTCACGTTGGTGCCTGTTCATGGCAAAACCAATAGTCATTGCTGGCCCTGTAAGCCATAAGAGATTTTCCCCAACTGAAGGCAAGAACTATGACTTGAAGGAAAAAAAAATGCCAGTGATTCGGTCTCCTCACGTTGGTGCCTGTTCATGGCAAAACCAATAGTCATTGCTGGCCCTGTAAGCCATAAGAGATTTTCCCCAACTGAAGGCAAGAACTATGACTTGAAGGAAAAAAAAACACAATCTAGGAGAGAAACAAAGAAATAGCTCTATTTTGGCTGAAAAATCACAAGATCGCAAGAGATATCGCAAGAGAAAGAAAACCCAGTTCATCAGATGGGCAGGAGGCGGGGGGGGTGGGAGGAAGGAGCGGGAGCGTGGGACGGGATCAGCCATGACTCCGGGGCCTGGCTTTGTGGCACCCAGTGGCTTCGCCTGGATCCAGGAACCCGATGTTGTCACTATCCCATCGTTCACATTTCGGTTACTGCTCCCCCTCTTTTTCCCCTTCCCCCTGTCTGATGAAGTCGGTCGACGAGAGCTTGGCCCGCCTCCGCCTCCTCCTCCTCTTCCTCTTGTTTTATTTCTCCTGAAATTCCTGTCATAAAAATGGAAATCATTCAGATTTTCATGAAAAGGTCTCAGCATATAACAATTTTCACAAAAATACAGCAAAATGCTAGAAACAGATGTTCAAATGGTCAAGCTCCAAATCGACGCGAAGCACCTTTGACATCAAAGCACACAGAGAAAAACATGGGAACTGACCCTCTGAAGCGGGTAAAGCCCCTTCCCCTGGCCCTTCTGCAGGGATTCCCTGCCGAGGCTGCGCCAAAGTAGGGGGAGGAATCATCTGAACCCTCTCCTTCTTCATCATCCAGAATTAGACTCTCTGCTGCTGCTGCCTTCAGAGCTGCAAAAATAAGGGAAGAAATTGTGAAATGCACCATGATAACCAGCCAAACAAACCAAGTGCCACACGGAATTAACCTGGAGATCTGAGTCAGCTTGCCCAGATGCTTTTTAAGACTTGCCTTGTTTAGGAAACTTCACTTCTGCATAATTTTTTTTGGACTTACACCACAGCAGATCTTACATACAGGGTGGCCCAGAAGTAATGGGGCAATTAGTGGTACAATCAGCAGTCACTAGCAGCAGCAGGTACAATTTTTTTATTATTTCATTATTTTATTATTTTGATTATTAATTGATTTTTATTTTAATTTCGGTCGATAAAATGAGAAAGTTTTGCAAATACAAATTTTTGTGACTGCTGATTGTATCACTAACTGCCATATTACTTATGGGCCACCCTGTATATTACATGGGAAGTATGACCATCTTCATGGACATATAGTTCTGGAGGTTCAGTAGTGGACATGCTATGCAATGTCCACTGCATGCATGTCCAATGCATTGGTATGCACAGGTAGGTTTCCCCACTTATTCTATAGCATGAAGGAATTACACCTTTTTTTGACTTTGACTTTCACTGCAACAAAAAAAAGGCATTGTCTCAAGGATCATTCTCATCTGCATTGGCCATATCCAACTCAAGAGCAAGCAAATACAGGAACTTCTGATAAGCAGACATGAATGCAACAACATGCAAAAGGGACAACAAGACGATCATGTTAGACAGACCATTTCTTTGAGCGGCATACTTGCGGGTAACTTCCAGCAGGGTCTCGCCGTATTTGTGGAAGTTCGCCTCGGTCACGTGTGGGATGGACATCATCTCTTCTGCTGTCTCTGGCATCCTCCGCCCCATCTCCTGCAGGGCCTACCAGCACCAAAGCAGAACAAGAATAATGATGCAGTCAACATATTCACAGAATAAAAAATTTCTGGGCTCTACCAACAGATTGACGAAGGGGGATGCATATGCCTAAATACTGTACATATAACCTGACATTACTCCTTTAAGCTCACAAGCGATTGGAGAAGGAGTGATGTAATTTCAGACTGTCAGTCTGGACAGCCTGTTCAAACTGCTTGACAGATGCTTGAAGATTGATATCTATTACAAATGAGTCATATTGCATTATGAAAAGACTATTACAACAGTTAATTTTACAACATGAATGGTCATATTTCAGTGAGCTTTTCAAAGAAAAACCTTTAATCAAATGTAAATTAAATGTAAATTAATCACCTGGAGGTTCATGAGGGAGGTGTAGTTCTTGACATTGAGAGACTGGGCAATGGCCTTGATGACATCCTGGAGCTCAATGTAGCATGTCTTCACCAATTCTGCCTCCTCAGGGGGGAGACACTCCTTGTATGAATTCCCTCCATTTGCCTCAGCCCCCTTCCCGGACCCAGAC